TCAGAGATAGCATCTAGGGAAACAGGGCTTCCAATGGATACCAGGAAATAGGCCAGAATCTCAGTGGTATTTGTGAGCCAAGGCGTTCGCCACACCAGCCACAACCTTCTGATAGGCAGCCTGTGCCTCTGGAGAGAATTCCTTGCCAAAGTGGCGGGCCAGCACACACACCAGCACATTGCCCAGGAGCTGTGGGGAAGAGGTAGATAGATACACAGACATGGTTAACAAAGCAATCCAGCTTGGCCTCTGAGAAAATGGGGTGACACCCATTTATGTTGCCCACACAGTAGCCCGAACTGATGGCCCAAACTTATTCCCACTAAAATTAAAAAACAAGTAAATAAATTAGCAAGCATATTCATTAACTAATTAATTGATTAATTAGAGTAATAATGGTCTGTCTCTTAGTAACTTCTGCTCCTCAGCTGCAATATGTCCTTCTGATCTTTCATTCTCAGATATAGACTTTCCTCCCCATTTACTCCTGATTTTAAATTATTCAAATTATCCTTCAATTTCAAAATGAGTCTCAGACTCTAGAACAACACCATGATCCTCCCCTCTTTGATTCAGTCCTTTCTAACCCTCATATGGAAGAGCATTAGGATTTGCCCAAGCGCAGAAGTAGTGGATGAGAGGTGGTATGCATAATTTGGGTATTGTTTAAGGGGAAGGAAATTAGGAAAAAAGGAGATGGAGAGAGAGACAGAGGCAAAAGGCAGGAAATTAAATAAAGGGCATGATATAAAGCAAGACTGTGAGACAGGAAAAAAGGAAGAATATTGAAAGAAAAAATAATAGAAAATGGTGTAAGTTGAAAAAGCACTAAATTCTCAAATACAGTCAAGTAAAGAGATGTGGAGGAAATGCAAGTAAGTAAAATAACCACAGTGAAAGACTACAAAGTGAAAAGAAAAAAGTAGAGCGTCTCCTAGACTCACCCTGAAGTTCTCAGGATCCACGTGCAACTTGTCACAGTGCAGCTCACTCAGCTCAGCAAAAGCGCCCTTGAGGTCTTCCAGGTGCTTCAGGCCGTCACCAAAGGAGGTGAACACTTTCTCGCCATGGGCCTTCACTTTAGGGTTGTTCATGATAGCCGAAGCAGAGGACAGGTCCCCAAAGTGCTCAAAGAACCTCTGGGTCCATGGGTAGACAACCAACAGCCTGACGGGTGAAAGCACCACAGGGGACAGAGGGAGTCAGTGACTGTCAGAAACTGGGAGGCTGTTCTGTCTCCACATGCCCAGCCCCAATCAACCCTCCTTAAGCCTGCCTTACAACCTAGATACAAACCTGCCCAGGGCCTCACCACCATATTCTTTCACGTTCACCTTGGCCCACAGGCCGATGACCAAAGCCTTCTCTTCAGGAGTCAGATG